CTGGACTCTCTCCCTTAGCTCCTTGTCTCGCAAGAACTGAGGAGCCCAGAACTGGGCCCAATACTCCAGAGGTGGCCTCACTAGGGCAGAGTAGAGAGGTAGAAGAACCTCCCTCAACCTGCTGGCCACACTCTTCTTCATGCACCCCAGGAGACCACTGGCCTTTTTTGGCCACGAGGCCCCTTGCTGCTGGCTCATGGGCAACTTGTTGCCAAACAGCTCTCCCAGGCCCTTCTCCGTGGAGCTTCTCTGCAGCAGGTCAGCCCCTCCCCTGTGCTGGTGCAGGGGGTTATTCCTCCCCACGAGCAGGACCCAGCACTTGCCCCTGTTGAACTTCATTAGGTGGAGGAGCCTGCACGTTGGCTGGTGCTGTGAGGCCTGGGTGGTTTCCAGGGCTGGGGAGTTGCAGCAGGAGCTCTCAGGAGCAGGGAAGGGCAGGAGGTCGGGGTGGCTCTGGCTGCCATAGCTCGGTGCTGGGGGGTGGCCTCTTGCTGTGCTCCTGCAGCCCAGGGGGAGGCTGTGATTGATTCTGACCCAGGTTTATTTATAAAATCTTTATTTCTTGCTGCTGCTCTCCGTGCCATTTTTTAAACTCGTTTGGCTGTCAAAGGTGTCAAAACCTGGAGGATTGCTTTTGGAGTTTCTCTCCCAGTCCATCCATCTTTGGCATTTCTCAGGTGCCTTTATATCGCTCAGGAGAGAACTTGGAGCTCTTAGGGCATCTGCTGCCCCTCCAGCAAGGACAGTGATGGGGACAGGGCTGTGTTAGTCACAGCCCCCCTCTGCCCTGCCAGGGGCTGTACTGCCTCAGGCCCAGCACAGCTGAGAGCACCCAAATTCTGTCCTCTTCCTTCTCAATACTCCACATCAGAGTCTCCAGACTACAGCCAGCTGGAGGTGAGCCAGTGTGTGCCCAGGTGGCCAAGGAGGCCACCAGCATCCTGGCCTGGATCAGAACTAGAGTGTGCAGCAGGAGCAGGGCAGGAACCCTGCCCCTGGACTGGGCACTGGGGAGGCCACAGCTTGAGCACTGGGGGCAGGTCTGGGTGCCACAGGATCAGAAAGACCTTGAGGGGCTGGAGCGGGTCCAGAGAAGGGCAACGAAGCTGGGGAGGGGTCTGGGGAACATGATTGTGAGGAGCAGCTGAGGGACCTGGGGGTGTTTAGTCTGGAGAAGAGGAGGCTGAGGGGAGAACTTCTGGCTCTCTGCAACTCCCTGAGAGGAGGCTGGAGTGAGGTGGGGGTTGGGCTCTTCTCCCAAGGAACCAGCAATAGAACAAGAGGCAATGGGCTGAAGCTGCACCAGGGGAGGTTTCAGTTGGATCTTGGGCAGAATTTCTTTCCTGGCAGAGTGGTGAGGGATTGGAGCAGTGGAGTCACCATCCCTGAGTTGGTTCAAAAATCGTGTGGACGTGGTACTCTGGGACATGGTTTAGTGGCCATGGCAGTGTTGGGTTGATGGTTGGACCTGATGATCCTAGAGGTCTTTTCCAACCGGAATGATTCTGTGATTCCACAAGTAGCTGTGGGATAAGCTGCTCTGCTGGTGGGACGAGGAGGACCAGGTGTCTGCAGGTTGCTTATGGTGGAGTTGGGGTTTGTTCCTCCTGGCTGTGAGGCTGTTGTGATCTTAGTGATTGCAAGTGCTGTACGTGGTGAAGCAGACACATCTCACTGAATTCCTTCCTTCCCTCCTAGAGGTGGCCACGGGGGAATTCCCTTCCTCTTCCCTGGCAGCTTGTGGAGGTTCCCTGTGGTCTGGGGTTGAAGTGGCTGTGGCACAGACCTCTTGCTCCTTTCATTTGCACACTGGGTGGTTTCTGCTGCACCTTGCCTGGTTCAGGTGGTGGCTGGCAGCCGTTGGCCCTCTGGGGTCTCTGCTTTGTGTGCTCTGAGCTCCAGCACGCTCAGGGAAGGAGAATTCCTTCAGCAAGATGTAGCTTTGGGTAAGGGAGGCAGGAAATGCAGATCAGAGCCTGTTCTGCCATGGCCACAGAGCAGATGCTGCCTCACCAGTCTCTGATGGACACAGATAGATGCTGTTGGGTCTCACCTCTCCCTCTGTCTGCCAACCCTAAGTGATTTGAGTTGTTCTCCTTTGGAAGCAGGCGCAGTAAATCTTGGCTGCTGCATCCCCAGGGCAGGCGTGGAGCTGTCTGATGGTTCCCAGGCCACACTGATGCTGCTCTGCCAGAAGAGAGATGGGGAAAAGATACTTCTGTGACTACTGTGACAGGTCCTTTCAGGACAACCTGCACAACAGGAAGAAACACCTCAATGGAGTGCAGCACCTCAGGGCTAAGAGAGTCTGGTACGACTTATTCCGAGGTGGGTACTGCCAGTGGTCTGTCCCCCACCTTTCTGGGCCTGGGGAGGGGATGGGTGAGCTTAGGGGAGGACAGATAAATCAGCACTGAGGATTAGTACTGAGCTTGTCTGTGGCAGTGAATTGTGGGCTTGATGCTGGGGCTGTCAAGTGATCTCAGAGGCAACACCCTCACGTGTCTGGATGTGGGAAGGGGAAGCTGTAGACATCAGCTGGGGCTTGGAACGAGGTGGAAGAGAGAAGGAGGGTGGTTGTGAGAACAGGCATTGCAGACGAAGCTGTTCTGGCATCCTGAGCAGAGCTGAGACAGCAGAGCTGAGAGAACCCAGTGAGCTGAGGCTCCTGAAGGTGAGTTAGGTGCCTGCTACAAACCAGGGCTGATCTGAGGTGTGAGGAGCAGGGAGCGTGGGGAGAGCAGGTTGTGTGAGCAGATGGGAAGCTGGGTGGAGTTGCAGGCTGTGTTTGTCTCCTGGCTAGCTGGGAGATGGAGCTCTGGGTGGCTCTGCTGTCTGCTGCACCCCATGTGGAGGTTGGAAAGGTTCTCTGGAGTGACCAAGCGTGGAGGACCGACAGGCCCAGCCCAGCCCAGTTCTCACTGGGCCAGCAATGGTGAGGCAGGTTACCTAGTACTGGTCTTCTCACCAGGCTGCAACCCTTGATTTTCCTCTGATTGGTAAAATTCCTCATCCCATCCCTGATGAGAGGGTTCGTCTCTTCTTGCCTCCAGGCCCTGTGGGAGCTGCTGTTCCCCTGGGGCTCATTTTCCCCTGGACATCTCCAGGAGATGAGGGACCATTCCTATGGTGTCCACTGGAGACTCAGCACAGGGTCCCTTGAGGCCCCACACAGAGCTTTTCTGAGAGCTCTGTGGCTGCCTGGTCTTGCTCAGAAGTGCTGCAGAGTCCTTGTGTTCCTGTCGTGGTGCTTTTCCCCTGCTGGCATGTGGAGAAGGTGTGGAGCAGAAGGCAAAGAAGGTGATATTTGCAAGCCAGTGAAAAGCTGAAGCCAGAGGTGCAAACAGGGACTGTTAACTGTCAGTCTGTGGCTCGAGTTCCTGGTTGTGATGTAAAATAGCTTCCTGCCAGGCAGCTGACCTGTTTGGGACCACGACATGATGGAGTACTGCTGTGCAAAGAGATCTTGACCTTGGTTTGGTCTCTGTCTCCTCTAGATGCTGCAGCTATCCTGCAAGAGGAGCAAACCAAGAAACCTTGTCGGAAGTTTCTGCAAACAGGTGAGTTCTTCTGGGGTAGGAATAACTGTCTGAGCTCCAGCAGCTCCTTTGTGAGCCAGCCCAGAGCTGCTCTGGAGAGACCTGCCATGTGTGGTTGTCTTGGAGGGAATCCGGAGTATTGGGCCCAGTTCTGGGCTCCCCAGTTCAAGAGAGACAAGGAGCTACTGGAGAGAGTCCAGTGGAGGCTGTGAAGCTGCTGAGGGGCTGGAGCATCTCTGTGCCAGGACAGGCTGAGAGCCCTGGGGCTGGTCAGCTGGAGAAGAGAAGACTCAGAGGGGATCTGATCAATGCTGAGCAAGAGCTAAAGGGCCCCTGGGGGGCAAGAGGCTGGGGCCAGACTCTGGTCAGTGGTGCCCAGTGACAGGACAAGGGGCAACGGGCACCAACTGGAGCCCAGGAGGTTCCACCTGAGCAGGAGGAGAAACTTTTTTGGGGTGAGGGTGTCTGAGGCTGGAGCAGCTGCCCAGAGAGGCTGTGGAGTCTCCTGCTCTGGAGAGATCCCAAACCCACCTGGGTGTGACCCTGGGCACCCTGCTGTGGGTGAGCTGCTGGAGCAGGGGGTTGTGTGAGATGATCTCCAGAGGAACCTTCCAACCCCACTGGGATTCTGTGAAGGGCTTAACCCTGTGTGTCCAGCCTGCAGGTGTCATGGCTTCTGCCTTTTCCTGCACGTGGGCAGGGGAGGACCTGGTGTGTGTGGCTCTCAGGGAGCTCTGTGGTGTTTTCTTCCAGGACAGTGCGATTTTGGGTCCAACTGCAGATTTTCCCACATGACAGAGCAGGACCTGGAGAAGCTGAGTGCCCAGGTTCAAGGTGAGTCCTCAAAGAAGACCCTCCAGAGGTCTCTGAGGAGGGAGAGCTGCTGCCCAGGGGCCATGCAGCAGGCTCCTGCAGTCCTGTGCTGCCCACCCTGAGCGTGGATCCCTCCTGGTGCTACATCAGCCTGAAATAGGCTCTGAGCTCCTCAGCTTCTCATACACTTTCTGCCCTTGATCTGCTGGCAGAGGCACAAGCCAGAGTTGAGTGCTGCTGTTACCACTTAGCAGCAAACATCTGAAGCAGAGGGTGGGCTGTTGGAGCCCTTGAGGTTTTGTTCAGCCAGGGAATAAAATCTGTCAGCAGCAGAGGGCACTGGTACATCACTTCCCCTTCAATTTGTGGATTGGGTTTCCCCCCACCTCTTCACTGCTACCTGGGAGCTGCTGCTTCCACTCTTGGGAAGAGCTAGACTGCTACCAGATGTGTTGTCCTGAGGAGAGGACGTGGGGTCTTGGATCCCAAAATGGCCTCTGCTCACATGGTTCTGGGTTGGACTGGAGTTTGGGCAGGGGAGGAGCAGCAGCTACTCCCCTGCTGCGAGTCCCCAGGGTGCTGTTGGACTTACTTGTCCTTTGGGGAGGACCACCTCCTTGCCCTGAAAAGGGTGCCAGCTCTGTTTTCCCTGTAGGATTAATTACTTTGGTGGTTAGAGAACATGTGAGTGAGGTGTTGGTGAGAATTTATGGAATGGTTGAGGCCCCCTCTGCTCAAAGCAGGCAAACCAGAGCAGGCTGCTCAGGACCCCCCAGGGTGGGTCCAGTATCACCAAGGCTGGTGACTCTTCAGCCTCTGTGGGCAACCTGTTGCATTGTTTGACCACGTTTGTGATAAAAATGCATTATTTTTTTCTAATATTTCACTGGAAACACCTGAATTTTGATTTGTGCCTGTTCTCTCTGGCCTTTGCTGGATGCCCTCCAGTGTGTCCCAGTGGCACTGGGGAGCCCAGTGCTGGACACAGCACCCAGCTGTGGCCTCAGCAGCCCAGAGCAGAGGGGAAGGATCACTTCCTCAACCTCCTGGCAACACGCTTCCTGAAGCCACCCAGCTCCTGAGCAGATCTGGTGCCCACACTCTGCCAGTGAAGCCAGCTGCTGCTTTGCCAACAGCCTGGCAGCCCTGTCGGAAGGGTGGGTACGGGCACACCCGCCTGTGAGAGCTGGGGGCACGTGGGGCAGAGACTGCCCCGGCCTCCAGAGGGGCGGGCTGAGGGCAGGCAGGGCTCAGGGGAAGCCTGGGGAGCAGCGGGGAGAGCTCCAGAGCCCTCCCAGTCCTCCTGTTGCTGAGTCAGGCAGTGAGTCCCTGAGGTGAGGGTCAAGTGAAATGGGCGGTCAGTACAGCCCATCTCATCGGGCTGCACGGGCACAGAGAGCTCCAGCCAGCCCTCCTCAGAGCACACTGCCAGGCTCCTCTTCCTCACTGCTAGCCCCAGAACCTCTCCCTGAGCCTTCCCTGCTGCAGGGTTTCAGTGCTGGGCTCACGAGAGGTGCCAGTGGCCATCAGCCTGGTTGCAGGACCCCGTAGAGTTTCCAGTCACTGAAGGCTGTTCATTCCTGAGGAGGTAACCTTTAAACTGCAGCAGGGGAGGTTGAGATTGGACATGAGGAAGAAGTTCTGTGCTGTGAGGGTGCTGAGCCCCTGGCCCAGGCTGCCCAGAGAGGTGGTCACTGCCCCATCCCTGGAACCATTCCAGGTGAGGCTGGATGGGGCTCTGAGCAACCTGCTCTAGTTGGGGATGTCCCTGCTCCCTGCAGGGGGGGTTGGACTAGATGGCCTTTAGAGGTCCCTCCCAGCCCAAACCAGTCTGTGATTCTATGACAGGTAAAAGCTCTTAGAAGCAGTGGGGGAGGCTGGCGAGCTCCTCTGCAGTGCCACAGGTTTCTTTGCCAAGTACACTTGTTATTGAATATTGACTTCTATCAAATGGGTCAGGTGTAAGTGGAGAATTGGCTGGGGAGAGCTGATTCCTGGGAGGTCGCTTGGAAACCTGGCATTTGTATCACCAAGTGAAATGTTTAATTAAGCAATTAGACTTGGAGGAGTGCTGGCCAGGGGACAACAAGGGTGCCTCGTCCTTGGCTTGCTGCTCCAACACAAGTGCCTGGCTGTAGAGTTAGATCCTGCTCACCTCCCTGGTGGTGACCTCTCTGGTGGTCCTCTCAGCAGGACGTGGTGGAGAAGAAAGGAAGGAGCAGCTGCAAATCCAGGTCACCATTTGGTGTGTCAGGGGGACCACCTCTCTGGGCAGCCTGGGCCAGGGGCTCACCACCCTCACAGCAAAGAACCCTCCTGTCCCATCTCAGTCTCCCCAGTTTAAAACCATTGCCCTCCCATCCCTGCTGGGGCTCCCCTGGCCCCACTCCAGCAGCTCCATGTCCCTCCTGTGCTGGGGGCTCCAGAGCTGGACACAGCACTGCAGGGGAGGTCTCCCCAGGGAGGTCTCCCGTGGGCGGAGCAGGGGGGCAGGATCCCCTCTCTCCAGCTGCTGCCCACGCTGCTCTTGGGGCAGCCCAGGAGCCATTGGCCTCTGGGCTGTGAGCGGGCACTGCTGGCTCCTGCCCAGCTCCCCACCCACCAGCACCCCCACGGCCCCCTCTGCAGGGCTGCTCCCTGTAGAGCAGAGAAGCTCCAGAGCCTTCTCACCAGTTTGTGCAGAGCCTCCTGTGACCATGCTGGAGATGATCATCCTCTGCCTTTGGTGGGCCCAGAGTGCTGCTTAGCCCCCCCTTTGCTCAGCTCTGGTGCGTGGGCTTGGGGGCAGAGGAGCTGCCAGGCTGTGTTGAACCCACCCCTGGCCTTGTCCAGGGACACTAAAAGATGCATGGACACCCTGCAGTGAGGTGGTGAAGCCCCCTGCCCTGTGTCCAGGGCTGGGCTCACAGCCTAAACCCCAGCAAACCTCTTCTGGCTGGTTAACCCTTTCATTGTCACAGAAATGTTGAACCTGTCCCTGACCCTGGTGAGTGCTGGCAGCTCTGTCAGTGAGCTCCCCGTGCTACCGATGGTGTGGAAACCTCACATTATTCTTAACCTTTGGCCCTTTTGATGCAGGGGGTTCACCCTCTCGTTTCCCTCAGTCTCATGGGTTAAGCAGGAAAGTTTCTGGACGATTGGCTGTTCTGTAAGAGCTCAGAGCCTGTCCTGGTTTGGCTCCAGCATTTCTGCACCCCGTAGAATATACTCCTCAAGATGCAACAGTTTCCACCTTCAGCAGGGAGGGAGGGAGGCCTCTTCCCAGCTGTTACCACATCAAAGCATCCCTCTTCTGCATCTGCTGCATCATTCATCAGCGAGACACTTCCAGGCTGTCGTTTTAAGTGCAGTTGTGTCAGGAGAAGTCACTGTCAAATTGCCAGCTTCTGGCTTAGAGTTATTGGCCCCCTGCTAACCTCTGTCACTTCTGCTGGTGGCACCGACACAAGGAGGCCCCTCTGGTGAGCTCAGGTGAGGGGGTGGGTGTCTGTAGTGGGAAGAACATGGGTGGCCATGCTGAGGGTGGCTGTGGTCAACCAGTTTAACGTAGCCAGGAGCAGAAGGAGCATGTGGTGCTCCTCGGCTGTGGGGCTGGAGCTGCTTAAGCTGCTCATGCTCATCACCCTTCCCTCTCGGTTGGAAAGGCAAGGACTTGATGGGTGTACTCCTTGGTGGATGAGGAATTGGGTCTGGAATCCAGAGGGAAGTGGTCAATGGCTCCATGTCCAGATGGAGATGGGTGACAAGTGGTGTCCTCAGGGGTCCATGCTGGGACCAGGACTGTTTAATATCTTCATTGATGTCTTCAGTGTCTATAAGACAGTGAGATTGAGGCACTCTCAGGAAGTTTGGAGGTGACACCAAGCTGAGTGGTGTGGTCGACATGCCAGAGGGGTGCGATGTCATCCAGAGGGACCTGGATGAGCCTGAGGAGTGGGCCCGTGTGAACCTCATCAGGTTTAGAAGGGCCACCTGCAAGGTCCTGCACCTAGCTAAGGGCAATCCTTGTTATCAATCCAGGCTGGGGGTGAAGGGCTGGAGAGCAGCCCTGCAGAGGGGGCCGTGGGGGTGCTGGTGGGTGGGGAGCTGGGCAGGAGCCAGCAGTGCCGGCTAAAAGACCAGAGGA